ACAAAACCCACAGACTGCTTCCTACAGACGCAGGGCCCCATTGTATCTGACACCAGAGGATGGCGTGGAGGGATGAAGGAGGAATGGATTCATACTTGAGAAGGGCTGATCTGTTGGGAACTATCTGAAAATTACAGGCCAGGTGCAACCCTTGGCTCTAAAGATCACAGCATACATGCTCCATCCCATAAGCTCCATCCCCAAGGAGTCGCTGCTGCCTGTGGATGGACACCAGAAACCTTTGATTGAACCTAATTTAACATTTCTGACATTCTTCCTCTTGCAGCTCCTTTCCACCATCCCATGCCTGCAGTATTTTTTACCCGATGTGTCTGCAGTGTTCACAAGTCTTTTCAAAATTTCATTCCATGGACTAAACCTCTTCCTCAACAAGAGCAGCACTGGTGTCATTTCCTACCCTTTGCTCATCCCATTTTTGCCCAACTCCATACCATGGGCAACAGTTTTGAGCGTTTCCAAGTTTTTTTTTATCAGTGGAGCATTTTTCTCTTTTCTTCTTTCTGGTATGTGCATTTGGCCTGAATCCTACCTAGCAGCCTACATCCCCCCTTGGCTCCAGTCCTTAGCAAGGACACACATTGGGTCTGCTACCCAGAGCAAGATTTCCATTGCCTCTGTCTTTGGGGCTCCTTGGAGTTGCTGGAGCCACCCCAGAGAGGGTATTTGGGTAGCACTTGGGGCACACATCCCTCTTGCTACCCCCTTCCTTGACAGGGCAGCCCTCTGGGAAAGCCCCAGGGAGCAAAACCTAAAGACAAAGGGTCCAGGTCAGTGAAGACCCTTGAGTCTGACAGCCAAGGCAGATTTTTTCCAGCCCTAATCTCCTTTTCAGGTCTCAGCAGCATGCCTACAAGCCATCGTTTTGAGCTGACTTATTCAACACCATCCACGCAACCCTCCTGGCGCTGCCTCAGGCAGTGGGCTTGCGCTGGGGATGCTGGCTCCAGAGCTAGGCATGTTTGGAGATAAGCTTCCTTCAGCGATATTTGGATTTCGATTACATCAGTGTCAAGACACGGCTTTTCGCCATAGCCAAGTGAGCTCCCGTCATGCCAAAGAAAGCAGCCAGGCCAGCCAGGGGCTGTGCACAGTGCATCGGGGAGGGCACCGGTCCCTCCGCACCCCCACGCAGGGGCACGGTGGAGGGGAAAGCCAGGTCACATGGGGCAGCACAGGCTGCAGATCCACCTCCGGCTGCCATGCAGACAGTCCTAACCAGTCGTCTCTTCTGCAGACAGTCCTAACCAGTCATCTCTTCTGCAGCGGGTTAGGAGAGGAACTGCAGAAAACCCAGCTGGTCTTTGGAAACTCCCTGCAGCTGCCAGTGACACTGTATATAAGCATGCGACCAAGCTTAGCAGTCAATGCCCTGTTTTACAGAGGAGGAAAAAAAGTGTAACTAACTGCTGTGTTCAGTGCTAGATGTCTCCTTGATCCACTTCTGATAACAAGGGGGTTGAGAGTGGCTGATTTACTTCTGCTTTATCACTCACTAGCATTGCCAAAGTGCATTTGCCATCTCTCAGGGATAAACCGCTCCTCTTGGGCAGGTCTGTGCCTCCATTCATCCTCCACATCCTTCTCCAGGACACCTCTTCTTTTAGTTCTGTCTGAAAAACAGCCCAGTGCACCAAGTGACATGATGCTGCAAAGACATCGCTCTCCAGCCATACTCCCATCTGACCCCGCTCCCGCGTGTCCTTCCTTGACTACTGTTGCCAACTGAGAAGAACCAGCTCCGATGAGGCTACAACTGTTCTTCAAAAACACGGAAACAATTTAAGACCCTAAATCCCACTTTCCACTGTGGTTAAAGGCCCCATCAGGAGGTAGACTGTTAATCATCCTAGATGCTTTTGAAGGTTGCAGTAGAGGTTCATCTGTATCTTCAACGTCTTCAGGGGACCCACATGCCTTTGAAGTCCCTCCTGAGGGACCCTGATGGCGGTGGCTGGGAAGGAGGACGAATCTCGGAGCCACCCAGGGCTTTTGCCCTGGGACAATTAAAATCAAGAGTCCAGTGAAGTCTCAGAGTGGTTCAAGTTGCTCCTGCCAATGCGGTTCCATCTCATTTGCCCCATTGCTACATCTTATCCACCATCTAGCGTGGGCCAGCTGGGAAAGTCCCACTGCAATGAGCTTAGGAAGGGGAGGGGGGCTGGCGGGAAAATGCCCATTTAACTTTTCGCAGGCAAGGGTGGTTCGAACAGTTGTTTCAACTTGAAAAAAAACTGACACGCATTTCCAAATTGTCCAAATGTTTGGCTTTTATATTTCCTTCAGTGACACATCCCAGGGTTTTAGTTGAAAAGGTCTTTTCTCTTCAGAATTAGGCTGCTTGTAGGAAAAAAACTATCAAAACAGGAAGCTTGAAATTATCAAAGAAAAATATTTTCATTGACCTAAAAAGATCTTACCCTTTGGTTTTTTAGTTCACAAAATTTTTCAGGACTGACTCTTCATCCCCACGAGAGATGAGAAATACTGTCAGAACCTCAAAAATGCTGCCAGAGGAAAGAGTTATTAATTACCACCCTCTATTTTTAACCTGCAACCAAGAGTCGCTTCTCATGGGTGACAACCGGATTCTCTTGAGGCTCTGCCATTGGCTTCATCAAGGCTTGTAAGTCAGAGATAGGTTTTTTTTGGGATGGGACATGCCCCAGGCACTCTGCAAAGCCTACCCTATTGATTTCCAAAGCAAGCATCAGTTATCACATGCTTTTGCTATCCATCTATTTACAAAAATTGTGTCATTACGTTTTTTCCCACCTATATTCCCACCGAAAAAAATGTTCATTTTTTCTCCCCCTCTATTCCGTAACTCAAAAAGGACTAGATGGATTTTGCTCAGAGTTTCCAAAAAAATTCCCCACTGGGTAAGGGCCAGGCATGCAAAAATTTCAACCTGAAAAGTGAATGTTTTCAAAAGTTATTAGCTAATGAAAAGAAGGGCTATAATGGAAACTGTTTTACTGCCATAATTATAACACCATGAACAGAGCCTGCCGCAATATATAACATTATCAAGCGCCTGTCAGCATTTAATAGAAGTCTTAATTAACTGCTGGGGAGGAACATGGCAAAAATTTATTTTCAGGAAAACTTTTGGGAGCTGCGTAATTCTGGGCTTTTTTTTTTAAGTCCGTCTCAATTGGAGCCTTAGTAGAGTTCATAGGACAGACTAAATACAAGACACAAGTGTGTATCTTGTTGGCATTACTTAATGATAGGATTTTCTTTTCTGTTAAACTACATAATCCAGAAACAACAATAATGTTTATGTTGGGTTGGAGCCAGACACTTCAGAGCTGGATTTTAACCTTCCCCAAGTTTGGGGTTATTCGAAGCCAGTGGCTTGATTTGGCTTGTCGGGGAGGGGGGGCTCATGTGTAACCTGTGGGGCTGACCTGCCTCTGCCATTTGCTCTCCTGCCACCCTTCCACCACCCCAAAGATGCTCACGCTCAGGATTTGGGGGGGATCCCCACCTCGTGGTAGTGTTTTACCGCACAGCAGTTCCTGAGCTCCTGGGCTGGAGACCCAGGCACAGAGGAGAGGTGTGAGGAGGGCCAAGCACAACAGTTATAGGACCACTGTAATTAATTTCTTGCCATTGGCTTCACAGGAGATAACCAGCTCGAAACCAGCCTGACCACTGCATGTTTCCTCTCCCTTGCAAATTCGTGGAGGGGCTGCACAGGAAGGCTCAGCCTGCTGCAGCCCGGTCTCCGCACTCATCTCAAGAGCCTCTTCTGTCTCCCTAGCACACCTTTGGGGTCCAGCCCCTCCACCCCATGGTGATGCCCTGCCAGTGAGACGCTGTCTGGAGCTGCCAGACCAGGCTGAAGAGGTGGGAGTGGGGTGGGGAGGGAGGGCAAGCCCAACCCTGGGATGGGCAAGCAACCCATGACTCAGCTGCGGTCAGCAGCAGGTTTTTGGGTGCCTGGGGCACAGAGCAAGACTTGTATGAAGCACATTAAGAGGAAGCTCTGCAAACCCACTGCCTAACTAGACAAGGAGCACAGAGGAGATATCAGGGCAGACGGTGATAAGCAATCTGCCAAGGTTAAACCTGGCTCTCGCTGAGCTAGTATATTAAACCCAGCTCTCCCCACTCCTACGTCTGATCCGCCAGACCACATTTTACAAACCTTCTGGCAAGCGAAGGGCTCCTCGGCAAAGCAGGGCAGGTAACATTGGGTGGGTCATGCCATGACAAACACTCCTTCAGTCCCGCCTGGCAGCCCAAACTTATTTTTATTCCCTTTCTGTCCCCTCCACCCCCTGCCTGGCCCTGGCAGCAAAGCAGCCCCGTGCTGCAAGCTGGCAGGCCACATCCATTTCCCCTGATAGCGTCGATAGCCCAACAGCTGCTCTCTGTCCCTTTGGAGATTAGTTTGTTTTCCTAACACAATTACTGCCACGTGGCCCTGCTTTCTGCCGGGATCAAGCCTGGATAGAGATAAAGCAGCGATAAGATCGCATGCTGTTCCAGACCCCTTCGCAGCCTCGCCAGCCGCGGTTTGTTCTCATCGGCACGGGAACAGTCCGGCTGCAAGTTACCTACTCCCATCAGTGCCAGACCAGGGAGCTTTATGGCACTAAACCCCAGGGATTTGGCTCCTAGCTTTCCATGCAACACTGAGGAGTTGTTTAGGATGTATCCATGCAGCATGGAGATGTTGCACAGGTGCATCCACACCAGGGAGCTCGCACGAAGCGGTACGAAGTCGCTTATCAGATGCGGCACCCTGCTAGCTCAGAGCTTTGGGCGAGCACAGCTGGCCAGCAGCTGGCTCCAAGCTGACCTGCCTGCACCCAGGTCAGCTGTCTCTGCCTGGTCTCCTCTCCTCCTACCTGGGGTTAGTCCAACCTCAGCTTTGCCTGCACATCACATTATCTGGTGAATGAAGAAGCTTTACCCTGCTGCAGCTGCTGTGTTGAGCATGAGTATCCTGGCAGGGCACACACCGGTACCTGCAGCACCAGTGAGGGGCTGGTCGGCTCTAGAAACATCAACGAAGCGATCACGGAGGCAGATCTGGTACAACCGCTCTCCATCACATCCAGCAAAGGTCCTCTCTGTCTCCCAGACCTGCCTGCGGGAATCCTTGTGCGGGGAACTGCTCCTGAAAGCCTCTGCCGGGGCGGATGCGGTGCATGCCGGGAGAGGACACTCAGGGAGCCTTGCTGCCTTCAGAGAGACAAGCATCCTTGCCAGATGTCTCCCATAAAGCTGCAAGTACTTTATTTTAATAATAAGCCTTAATGTATTCATTAAAGGCTCCCAGTGACCTGGGATGAATTTCCCCCCCTATTGTAAAGGGCTGTGGGAATCTGGAAACCGCTGCATTACAGTTAATAACTTTAATTTTACAAGGCCCAAAATAGACAACTGAAAAAATACACAAACTCACTGTTTCCAATTAAGAAGAGATTTCTTCTAATTCCTCTGCCACTGGTGCTCTTGTTTAGCAAACAACATCAACAGATATGCAACCATAGACAAGGGGAAAAGCAAACCGAGAGAATCACCTTCTGCATCCCTGTTACAAGAGCCAAGGAAGAAGCCAGGACCCTTCCTCCTCACCTGGTTATCAGTGCATGGAGGAGCCAGAGCCTCATCAGCAACAGCAAACCCATACTAGAGGACCATGGACAAACTTTAATGCCTGCTTCTTAAGCCTGGTGGACACCAGAGCACTTTGATCCAAGGGAGCTGATTTCCAGCCCATCTTTTCCCCGTTCCCTCCCGGGGGTCCTAGCTAAGGTGCTAAAATGGTTTGCTGGGAGTCCTGAGGTGCTGGGAACCTCCCCCAGTGGTTGGGTGAGCATCCTGGTAGCGTTCGGGGCTACCAGATCTCCGATTTTAGGATCAGGAAGGAATATTCCCCCCAGATCAGCTTGGCAGAGATTGCTGTGGATTTATTTTGCCTGTCTCTCTCTTCCTCTGTCGAATGAGGGGTAGTTCGTTTCCCAGGGAAAAAAAGCTGGGAACTGAAACCAAAACAATTTGGCCTGATTTTTTTTTTTTTTTTTTCTGGGAATCTAATGTTTTCCGGCCCAAATCTTTTCATTTCCAGTTTGGTTCTTTTTTGCTTTCCAGTTAAAACTGGAGCTCTTCAAAAAGCGGACTGACATTTTATGTGGAAACATTCATTTTGCCGTAAGTCAAGCCTTCTGGGGAGGAAAAAGGCGTTTCAAAGGCCAAGTTTTGACCAGCATACCAGTCTGGCCATGCTGGCAAGAACCAACACTGGCCTCCTCACACATCTCTAGAACCATCTCTGCTACCTCTGCCAGGCTCACGCCAAGGTGCTGGCATCCTCCATCTGCTTGTGGCAGGGACACATATCCTCCTTACTATCAGCCTGGTATTGATCAACACAAATTAAAGCAGCCCAGGTGAGAACAGCTCCACACCTTGAAGCAGATCTCAAAAGCTTCCTCTGCAGACTTAGCCTGACACAGGAAAACATGTTGCTTAAAAACCACAGATGATGTCAGCCCACGTAGATCCTAAAATGCTCTCCAGACCACCCAAAACACAAAGCAGAGGTCCCAGCCAGCAGGATGGAGCACATGCACCCATCTGGCCCCAAGACCCTCACATCACCATTGTCCTCTTGACCAAGAGCTGCCTACAAGCAGCACTGAATTTGCCTTGGCCCTTGCTTAGGAGCAGATTGAGTTTTCCAGCCAAACTGATAAAAATGAAAAATGATTTTCATATGCTTGGACTCTGTATTTCCCCATAAATAAGACAGCAATGGAAATTGGGGGAAGAGGGTTGTCAGAGCGGTAAGTCATCCGTCAAAGCCACACCGAGAACATTGGTCTAGCCCTAGTCCAGGAAAGCATCTCTATTTAGAAAAGCAGGCAGGCACATCTCTAGTCTCCTTTGAAGCCACTGGGAACTGAGTGCTTCTTATGGGCCAGGCAGTTTAAAGATATCTAAATGCTTAAAGGAACAGATAAGACCTAGATACCAGCTGGCAAAACCCAGACCCTCGGAACGTATTAAGGCACACAAGGGTTTTTAATGGGAATTAAGAGCTTACGTATTTCTGTGGCTAGGGGCTTGGAGTGCACACGTGCCTTAAAAAACACTTCTAGTGGCTTTCCTGGAAAGAGGAGATTTAGGCACACGTGCTGTGTGTCAGGGCTTGTAAACCTTCATGTTATCATAGAAAACCACCTGCAAGGGAAAACCCAACTTCCAGCTTGGCTGCGGTGCAAGCATCATTTTATTAATGCAACGGGATGTCTCTGCTCTAGACATCCCCCAAAACAGGGAGGCCAGATCCCCCCCGGCCACAAAGCTCTGCCATTTCAGGACAGCCATGGAACCATGCTCATCATGCATCACCCCCAGCCTCCCTCCTCTCCTTCCCCTCATCTTAACTCTGCCCAGAGCTATTTGACCAGATATGCCTAAAAACATGGAGAAGCTGAACAGCCGCACTCCACCTATAACGCTGACAAAACCACAAGCAGCGCAGAGCTTCCCCGACCCTCCGAGCATACATTTCCTATTCCTGCCTGCAGCTCTACTACTGCCTTTCTCACATCAATGCCATGACTGCAGCTGCTGGAAAAATTTCCACCTAAATAGTTTTTAGCAGGTCATTTTTCAGTGAAAGGCAACTTTAAAAAAAAAAACAACACAGAAAACCTCTCTTTGTGGAAATTTGCCTGGCTTGTCTGAAATGTCAAAAAATCTAGAAAAAAGATTGAGTTTTGGCCTTGAGCTGCAAAAATCTTGGTTTTAACCAAGAAACACAGTTTTCGAGTTTTTTAGTGAAAATTCAAGAAAACTTCCAGAGAGAACAAATTCTCTTGCTTTCATTAAAAACATTCATGGTGTGATGGCTACACTCAGATTTTCAAAAAAGCCCACCTCAAGAGACTATTAAGGAAATTAAACAGTTGCTGTGCGAAAGGGAAGGAACTGGTCCGGATTATAACCTGGTGAAGGAGCAGAGCGAAGATAAATGCTTCATTCTCAGCCTGACGTTAGGTTAACAGCCGGGCATCCCACAGCTCTGCTCCAGGGTTTAATATATTTATCAGTGATGAAAAACGAGGTGGTAACGCCCACAGATGACACAAGCCCATGGAGGCTCAGGGTCCCATCACCCCGACCACAGGCTGTTCCATCAGATGGCTGTGGGTGCCCTCCAGGAGGACACAGCTCCAGCCCCGCCGCTGGCTCCCAGGAGCAGTTTGCACATGGCTCAGCGGAGATGCCAGACCTGGTTTTTGCTTTGGTCCCATGGGAGCGTTGGGTTGTGGCTTCATCGCCCCATGGCACTGGGAAACCTTCAGCATCACAGGCTTTTGAGTGGTGGAGAGACCTCACCCCTCTCCAGATGGGCACCATGGGTATGGCAGTGCCATGAGACAGCCCTGCCATGCCAAATGCAAACACCCAGCGCTGAACACAGTGCCAGAGCCCATTTGGGAGGTTCACTGCTATCCCCTGACGTGGGACCAGGGGAGCCGCACGCTGTGGTGGCTCCGCTCGGAGCCGCCGGCACCCAGATGGGTTACAAGTGAACATGAACTCTCCCTCCCCATCTGGAGCCCATGTACAGCAAGTGGCAAGATTTATATTGTGCTGAAGCATTCCACAGTTTTGAGCACAGAAATGATTGAACTCCAGATGTTAACAAGATGCAGGACCCTTTTTTTATTATTAAAAATGTGATTTCTTGTTTTGCTCATGACAAAACCCATCAGATTAACTTATTAGGAGCGGAACTGCCATCAGGCCAGTGGAAACGAAGACGGCTCTGGCTGCCCAAAAGCTCAACAGAGCACACAGGGAGACCAGGGCTCCTTCTGAGCAGAGCCATGTCCAGTCACTTCTCTGTGCTGAGCCGAAGGCAAGACATGGGTGACCTTGCTCTGTGCCCGCTAGCAATGCAAGGACATTGGTGAGTCCCTGCGCCTCAGTTTCCCCATCCCTTAGGGGGAAGATGAGTCAGAGCTGGAAGGAAAAGCCCTAAACAAATGCACACACTGCAGCTTCATGCAAATCAAACCCCCTTGCTGAAGTAGCAGAGCCTTTGCTAACAAGCAGCATAGCCCAGGCCAGAAATGGAAACCTGCCCGCTCTCTCCTGGCTCCTCTGCCTGTCCCTCGGAAGAACAAGGGGGACCCAGGACCCGTGGCTGCCATGCTGGGGCAACTCCGCGAGCAGCTCTCATGCTCCGCTTCCCTTCAGGGAGAGCCCTAAAGTGTCACAAACTTCACTTCCCATCAGAAAGGAACCGAATTTCCAAATACCTCTGCAAGTCTTAAATGCTCTTCTCAGTACAGCTCTGCCGGGAACATCCCCCAGCAGCGTGCGGAGTGGCACGGCCAACATCTGTATCCCAGAGCACGGGATGGGGCGGGGGCCTGTCTGGAGCTGTCACATCTTCACTGCTTTATCACAGGAACTTTATCACAAGCTCATAACACACACGTCTTTGCACCATGAGATCAAACAGGTACGGGATGGCATTGCAGCCTGCTGTCACAAGACGGCCCCCAGCAGCTAGCGCCGCTCCATGCTGTGAAGAGAAAACATGTTGAAGCTGCGTGACGGAGGGAACCCACGTATGCTCGTCCTGATGTTGTACAGTCAGACCAACTCAGGGAACACACCAGTGCAAAGCCAGCCTCGTCTGCTAATCCCCGGGTGGCACAGCATCCTTCGGGACCCACACATTTACACTTACCCATAGCACATGTCAGCTCTAAGGAGAGTCACATCTGTCTGCTCAGAGGGAGAGAAACATTTCTGGGGAGTGCAAATGTCCTGCTTGGCCAGGCTGAGCTGGGGACAAGCCAGAGCAATGCAGCTTCTCTGCACCCAGCACACATAATCGTCCTCCCCGGCAGGGAGAGAGGGGCCAGAGGGCTGAATAGCAGAAGCTGCAAAGCGTCAGGGCTACTTTTCCCTTGAAACTCTTTGTATTTACCATGCAACCCCAGGGGACTGATCTGCTGAATAAGGATGGCACCTCAAAGCTCTCCTTGCTCCAGCAAGCCCACATGCCAGCCAGCAGGAGCAAAGGTGCCTCTGGTTTCAGCGTGGGTTCACTGTGTACCAGGCAGGTCTGTTACAGCCCACCCAGGGTTTCAGCCTTCCTTGCTTCCCACCGTCCTGGAGATGAGTGCTGGCTTGCTCCACCACATGCCCAAGAAAAGGCACTGCCCTGT